AAAATATGTAAATAAAATAGTAAATCAATACATAAATTAGGAATAAATTGTTAATACTCTCATAAAAACAAGAGGTATATATCAATATCTATATACATATCATGAGATAGTGGTAAGATTTTTAAAAATTATACAGGCCAATGAAAAACATGAACTATATTAGACCGTATATACTAGTCCAGAAAAGTATCCAAGCACTTTAATATATAGTCATGTGACCAAAACTTCAGAATCAACAATGTAAGACTATGGGACTCTTTTTCTCCAATAATTCTCTAGTAAAAATGCCAATACCTAGTGAGGTAGTCAAGCACTTGTAAAAAACAAATACGACTTTTTAATACACATAAATGCTTACTTACAGTGTTGGTAAAAAACAATTAGGACTAGATCTTTGATTCATATATATATATTAGTCATGTAACTTTCAAAAATGTCAAACATTTACTTAGTATTTGGCTGAAAGTAATTTAACTCATTTCATTTGGCTAGTACTAACTCCAGACAAAATTTTGAAGATGAAGCCACTTAGAACTTTTAAAGAAGATATAAAATATCTAAAACACTGACATTATTTTCTTTAAAATGGGATGGACTAAATAGTGTTTCTGATTAGTTTTTAAAATTTTTTTATTTTTTATTTCCATAGGTTTTTGGGGACAAGGTGGTGCTTAGTTGCACAAATAAATTCTTTAAGGTGATTTCTGAAATTTTGGTGTACCCATCATCCAAGCAGTATACACTGTACCCAATGTGTAGTCTTTTATCCCTCACCTCCACTCACCTTCCCCCCAAACAGTCCCAAAGTCCATTGTATCATTCTTATGCCTCTGAGTCCTTATAGCTTAGCTCTCACTTATGAGTGAGAACATGTGATATTTGATTTTCCATTCATGAGTCACTTTCCTTAGAATCATGGTCTCCAATTCCATCCAGGTTGCTGTGAATGATATTATTTCATTCCTTTTTATGGCTGAGTAGTATTTAATGGTATATATATATCACAATTTCTTTATCCACTGGTTGACTGATGGGCATTTGGGCTGGTTCCATATTTTTGCAATTGTGAATTGTGCTGCTATAAACATGCATGTGCAAGTATCTTTTTCATATAATGATTTCTTTTCCTCTGAGTAGATACCACATAGTGGGATTGCTGGATCAGATGGTAGCTCTACTTTTAGCTAAAGAATCTTCACTCTGTTTTCCATAGTGGTTGTACTAGTATACATTCCCACCAGCAGTGTAAAATTGTTCCCTTTTCACCACATCCCACATCTCCCCCAATATCCATTAAAAAAAAATTTTTTTTTATTATGGCCTTTGTTGTAGAAATAAGGTGGAATCACATTGAGGTTCTAATTTGCATTTCCCTGATCATTAGTGATGTTGAGCATTTTCTCATATATTTGTTGGTCATTTGCATATCTTTTGAGAATTGTCTATTCATGTCCTTTTTTTCTTTTCTTTTTTTTTTTTTTTTTTTTGAGGTTTTGCTTTTTTTTCCCCTGGTGCAGTGCAATGGTGTGATCTAAGCTCACTGCAACCTCCGCCTCCCGGGTTCAAACAATTTACCTGCCTCAGCCTCCTAAGTAGCTGGGATTACAGGCGCACACCACCATGTCTAGCTAATTTTTGTATTTTTAGTAGAGATGGAGTTTTATTGTGTTGGTCAGGCTGGTCTCAAACTCTTAACCTCAGGTGATCCACCCGTCTCAGTCTTCCAAAGTGCTGGGATTACAGTCAATGAGCCACAGCACCTGGCCCTATTCATGTTGTTAGCCCACTTTTTGATGGGATTTTTTTTTTCTTGCTAATCTGTTTGAGTTCCTTGCAGGTTCTGAATATCAGTCCTTTGTCAGATGTATAGATTGTGAAGATTTTCTCACACTCTGTGGGTTGTTTAATCTGCTGCTGATTATTATTATTTTGCTGTGCAGAAGCTTTTTAGTTGAATTAACTGATTAGTTTTTAAAGTAACTTAAAATTGATTTAAGACTACACATTTCAAAATACAGGTAGACCATGCATCATCTTGTTTGATAAGCATGAATTTCAGTTATCACAGTTTTGTTAAATATCAGTCCCCTAACAAAGTTAACCTGGTAAACTTTAGTTCCCAGGGTATGTTAACTGTGAATAATTGCAAAAAGTCCAAACTTTCACACTGATATGCGCTAGCTTTTTAGTATAAATCACTGAGTATACAACAGATATGTATGGCATTCCGTGACTAATCATATTGTTTCTTTTAAAGTATGTCAGTGATTAGCTATCTGGTACATGTATAGACAAGAAAGCAGGTACCTGCGTGCTAGTGATAAATTCATGTGACACTTTATAAAAACAAGTAATGAAAAGAAGTCAACCAAGATGAACATGCAGTAAAAAAAGGAAAAGTGACAAGATTGGAAGTGAAATTCAAATCAAATGAAAATGAAGTTATAGAAGAAATAGCTGACCTGGGAATGCTGACACTGCTGTCATTCCAGAGACACTAGATAGGTAGCCAGAGCAACTTAGTGAAGGCACACTTATTACCATAAATGAGGAAGGTTGTGAAGGATAAAGATGTCCCACAGAAAGTGACACTGGCAAACATTTTCACATTAAAGGAACTTGGAGATATATCATTACATTGAAAGTGCAAAAGTTAAAATGTTGGAAAGTAATCCAAATTTAGAAGGAAATAATGACAATTTGCCAAGTCTTAGAGAAGGTGCTTTCTCTGTATCGTAACTTTTATGATGAGAAGACAAGCACTCTACAATCTATTGGTAAGTTTTTTTTTTTAACCAAAAAAATCCTCACTTTAATTCTCAATGTTTCCAGTGTTTTCATTACAGTGTGCTACATAAATATTATTTTTTCTTTTTCCATTTTTAACCAAAAATATTGGTTAAAATATTTTTAAAATATTTAACAATTTAAATATTTTGACAAATATTTTTAAAGGTTCCAGAAAATGGTCATTTTTTTCCCATTTATGAAGGTGGTTTTATGTGGTTTCAGCTTGCATGGTCATTTTCACAATCTGGTACAGGGCAAAGTGAGGACAGTCTACATTTCTAAGAGAATGCCTTCTAGTTTCTCTTTTTATAGACATATCCTTGGCAAATGTATTCAATCCAGAAGTAGGTTTCTGACTTTTAACACTTATGTTATTTCTTTAAAATTGTCCCTTAACTTTTTACTGAACCAGGTATTGGTCAAGTTTGAATTTACAATTTCCAAATTTTTCTTTAAAAGTGATAATAAACAAAACAATGGGTAAATACCAATAAGCCACATATATAAATTTACTTTGAGCCCACACAATGTAGCAACTTACTTTTTCAAGCCAATAAAGAGATGTGTGAAATGTTGAAGATCCAAAATTTTCTCCAGAAGACGGTGAAGGGTAAGGGTGTGGTAAATTTAATCCCAAGTAAAGAACAAATGGTTCAGTATAATTAATTGCTTCTTTTCTTAACCAGTTCATTGCTTTGTCTGTATTCTCCCAATCCTTTTCCATCACTCTCACTTTAGTCCTATTAGAGATAAGATTAACCATGGGCCTGCCTTCTTGTCTGAGTAAGAAAGCAACATCTCTTGTCCATGCTTCTACACGATTACTGAGGGAGCAAAAAGACAGGTATATTGTTAGGTATATTAAAAAGTTTTAAAAACGTACTAAGCATACACTAAGAAAGCAACATGGTAAAAAAATTTTAGACTCAATCTTATAAATGTTCAGAATAACTATATTAGATATCAAAAAGAAAGTTATTGAGCATTACAAATTAAAAAATAGAAAAAAAGCCAAGAATCAAATATTCACTTACATGTTCTTAAAAACCATGAGAGATTATGTAAAAGGGTTATCTTTTCTTTCAGCAAGATATTTAAACAAAATGTTTCAGATTTCTAGTATTTCTCCTTATTTACTGAATTTTCTAGGATTTTCTTTTTTTCTCTTAGAAGATATTATTCCTAACCAAACCTACTATAATTTATTTTTATCGCTATTTATATTTTTAAAAATCTACCTACCATGTATATTTCATGTGTTGCTGAAGGTTCAGTTTTTAAATCGTTTCCAGCTCTATTGTTTCTTCTTAAAAGAAAAATTTTAACCATAATCTGAACTATCTAAGCTAATAATGATACAAATTTCATATCCATTATAAACAAGAGGTATTTTCTTTATTACTGATTTACAAGTTAAAAGATCCAATTAATCCACTTTCTCAACAAACAAACAATTCACTTTCTCTAAATCTCTAGTCTATTTTATCAGGCTTCTTGATTTTTCTCAATCCAGGTCTAAGTATATGTAGCTGACATAATTGTTTAGAAAGCAGTCCTGGGCATTTCTAGGAAGTTTGCCTTTTTAGTTTCAGTTGAGATAAGTACCTCTGAAGTGCTCTATCAATTGAGAAAAGTGTTTTTAAAATCCAGATACCAACTCACAAATAAAAAATATTTTATGTTAAAGCATAATACTCTACTTAAGAGAAATCGCAATCCATGCAACATGACTAACAACCCATATATAAGTTAAAATAGAAAAATTTTATGCCCTGCCTTCTGAATGCAGGTAAAGAAATTTAAATAGCTATAATAAAAATTCATTTTTCTTTGTAGGTATTCAATATATTGTGATAAAAATAATGGAAAGCATAATTTCTGCAGAATTACATCTATCTAACAGATTCCAATTAATTCTAACAGATGGGAAACCCTAAAATAGAAAGTTTTGTATTCATCACACTATCAAAACAATCTCACATTGGCTTCTTGTCTTTTGCTTAAATCATAGTTAAAATCTTACTATATATGACTGTTAGTATTGTTGCAGAAGTGGAATTTTAGGGGTTTATAACACCAGCAGTATGTATGGTAGAACTCAGATTTTGAAAGAAGGAGGAATAGGATACTGAGATTTATATAGAACGTTTAGGAACCAAAGTGCTTTCTTTTCAGAGAATATTACATGAGAAAATTATGGCTGAGAAACTATTACAATAAGCAAGCTTTTAATACAACCTAATTAGTTGCCACTGTTCAGATTAACTCAGGTAGGACTATTGCCCTGATTGTGCTAACCGACCTAACCAGTGGACTTTACGATGTAGTCTAGACCATGAGTCAGTCTAGACCAGCTCAAGGAAATATTTTCTAGCCTTGAAAGATGGCTATATTGAACCCAGCTTGTTGCATCTTTTGCCACAGCAGTGATAAGTGTGACATCATTTACCCTTTCCGGTAATAAATTTATGCCCTCTCCCTATTTTTTAAAATTGTCTGTGTTCCTGAGATTGTTTTAACCAAGGACCCCTTAAGGGTAAAATAGCTTGAATTGAATTAATTTTGGCCTACTCTAATCATTATGGCCAGATTTCAACCTTGGCTTTATTTTTGTCCTCTAACTAAATAATATGCAATTTTCTCTCTTATCTTAGTGGTATCCATTCTTGTCTTTTCATAAGTATGGGTTTGGCATGATTCCCATGACTGCTGGTATGTAAGTTGAGTTACAACAAATGATTTCAAGCACTGCTAAGGCAGCAGAGACAAGACTATAGTTAAGAGGTTCCTTTCCCAAAGTTTTTCACTTCTTTGATTAGTTGACCCATGTTCACTGTGCCTAAAGGGTAAAATAACAATGTATTTCTTTGCAACTTAGTGAGGAAGAGCAAGAGTATAAAGCGATGTATTTGGTAGATGAATATACTGCAGTACTTTAAAATCATTTAGCACTTTTTAATGTATTCAAAAATATTAATAATTATAATCAATGAATCTCCAGTCTATTTTCACTACTCCCTGGACCAGCCCACCCTTCCTGGGCCATCATTAAGCACAATAAGAGCAGCAGATGCAGCCTAAACAGTAGGCTGCTACAGGAGCTGCAATTCTTAGTCCAGAAAGTCCCTCTTTCCAGCCCAAGGTATCTTCCAGTAACTAAGTCCAATGAGTAAAACATGGAATGAGAAATATGCAACTTCATAATTGACTACAACTACAATAATAATAAGATAACTCTTTTGACATTATAATTCTCTCTACTAACCAATGTATCCAGCCCCTTCTTACAAGAGTGATGGTCTATTATTCAGGCTAAACTGTTACATCTGGAAATCATATCTTTCAATCATATGCTCAGACCTACTTCTTTGTCTCATTGTTTTAAATGTTGTCTTTTCCCCCCACCAGTAATTGCTATCACTTCTTCCAAATGTAAGTTTTCTGTTTACTTAACCACTGGGGATATTTTGAGCCAATTTATTTCCATTCCATTTCTATGTATTTTGCCCAGAGTATGGTTTCAATCAGGACAATCGCAAAGGGCTTGTATCAATGAGGAGAATCCAAAACTAACTGTGACTCAGATATGTTATGATTCCATGGCTGTTCTCAATATAAATTTATCCCGTTGCTCACAATATAGGCACAGTTATACAATGTATAGTTTCCTCTATGCCGGCATTTCTCAAAGTGTAGTACAGGGAGCTCTGAGGATTCAACAGACACTCTCAGTGAGCCCATGAGGTCAAAACTATTGTCATAATAATAGTAAGATGTTATTTACCTTTTTCATTCTCATTCTGTCATAACATACGGTGTGCAGTGGAAGAGACCACTCTAACGTATCCTCAGGTAGGAGCTCAGGTCTGGAGTGTACCTATCTCAAAGAAGACTGCTCATAAGCTCAGAGAGGCTTCAATGTTTCATTATATCATGCCCCTCTTAAGTGGCCCAATGTCTACTTCAACTCTTTATAGAAATCTAAGAGGGGCTTTTCTTCTCAAAGGGATACAAATAATAATCACACATTTCTGATAAAACATTCATAATTAATTACACCTTGTCCTACCTCTACCAGAGGTCCAGTTCTTTCCATCCTTGCTACTTCAGGTGTGGTCCATGGACCAGCAGCATCAGCTCCTGGGAGCTCCCATAATGCCCACATGTTATGGGAGGGACCTCGTGGGAATCATCATAATTGAATCATGGGGGCAGTTTCCCCCACGCTGCTCTCATGGTAGTGAACAAGTCTCATGAAATCTGATGGTTTTATAAGGGGTTTCCCCCTTTGCTTGATTTTCATTCTCTCTTGCCTGCCACCAGGTAAGACATGCCTTTCGCCTTCCACCATGACTGTGAGGCCTCCCAAGTCATGTGGAACTGTGAGTCCATTAAATTTCTTTTTCTTTATAAATTACCCAGTCTTGGGTATGTCTTTAGCAGCAGCATGAGAACAAACTAATACACCATCCTAGATTCACGGAATCACAAAGGGCATTTAATAAGATGCCCAAGTCATCTGTATGTATATTAAGTTTTGAGACGCACAGTTTAAGAATTTTTTTCTGCAAAAATCCTCACATTTTAGACAGGGTAATTAAAATGAAGCTTCCATAGTACCCTATAAATAGAATTATTCTACCTTGGTTCAGTTCCAGAAAACAGGTGATAGCCAAATATACTATCCAACCATCAGCAGTTTAATTAGTTATTTGTAACAAGAATTTTCTCACTAATACAAATGAAAAATAAAACTACTTAACACATTACCAAGCAGTTACTACATAAATTTGTGTATTTGCCATTACTGTGTGGGTTTTCTGTGCCAGTGTGCCAAATTCTGCTGCTAAAACATTGGATACAATCAGTTTACAGGTAGCAAAGGATTAGTTTACATAGTAACAATTATATCTGAAAAACTATACATTACAATTGATGATGAGAAGGTGACAGTTTTCTTTCAACATGAAGTAGGAGCCTAAACATAAACCTTCGGCTTCTTAAAAGTCTACTGAACATGACCAATATCTCAGACTCGGAGCTCTGTGGTCTCTCTCTTTCTCTCATTGTTATTGATGGGATTGTAGCAGGTAATGTGTTTCTGATAAGTCTCACAAACAAAACACTGGAAAAATGATGATTCTGAAAAATGCCCTTGCAAATTTCTGCATCTACATAATAAATTCTGTAAGAGAAAAAGGAATCTATATTCATTCCCATTTAATGCTCTTTTCTGGACTTGGTGTGGTGGCTCACACCTGTAATCCCAGGGCTTTAGGAAGCTGAGGTGGGAGGATTACTTGAGCCCATGAGTTTGAGACCAGCCAGGGCAACATACTGAGATCTTGTCTCTCCAAAAAAAAAAAAAAAATTTAGTTGGGCATGGTAGCATGATAGTATGTGCCTATGGTCCTAGCTACTTGGGAGGCTGGGCGGGGAGGATCACTTATGCTCCAGAGTTTAAGGCTGCAGTGAGCTACGAGCCTGCTACTTTACTCCAGCCGAGGGGACAAAGTGAGATCTCATCTCTAAAAAAAAGCTCTTCTCTCAAATTAGAGAGAGACACACATGATTTTTAAAAGGATTTACAAGACTGTCATCCGTCTTCATTACATATGAACACTCAAAAAAACACCAATCTGTTTCAAATTGGTATTCTCTAGAAATGATATAAAAGGCATTTGTGTAGAGGTGGAACAAGAGGCCTGGGTTTGTCTTTTTTCTATCTCTAACCTGTTAGGTAAATTGTAGATTTAGTAATGCTTCCATCATTCACCCCCCTTTCACCTATACCTTTTGCCATGTGACATTGGAATGGCTCCCC